AGTGTCGGCAGTTGTGAAATACCAACCCATATCCACACTGACTTTTTATTAAGTCTACGACTCCCAAAACAAGACTATATAAGACACATCGCGATTTCACCGTATTGTGAGCTTTTCTTAAGCTGAAAGCCTGTATTTTATTCCGTTGTATTTTCACAGTTTTAAATCAGCTAGCTGTATAGATAAAACAATTTTTTGAATTGAGCAAATTGAGTTTTAAACTGCGCGCACACACACATACACATTTGGCAATTTTGATCTGGATAAAGAGAGGAAATAAATGTATACAAGTCGCAGAAAATCTGAACTCTATAATGTTTGATATGCAGTCAAATTTAAAGAAGATGGAAATATATTGTGGACATTTTGAGTTGGAGATTATAACAAATGACGTAAAACAGTATACAATAGCCTTTTCATCAAGTATTTCAAAAGCCCCTAGCTGAATTCTTATGAATTTCCTTTCATGTGAAATATCTTCCACAAAAGTTCCAACACCTCAAGCCATAGATTAAAAACAAATTATTGTAATACATACCTTGACGCGCGTATCGGAATGGATTCCAATATTATAGTCTGTGATTTCTCTCGCTGTTACTCTAGCTATCTGAGGTTTGTGACGATCTGTTCTATAGTTTTGGTTTAAATACTCCCCGTGCAGCATTGATTTGGATTGCCAACAATGTAACATTGACATTTCCATAAATCTAAAAATAAATTGTCTGCAGGTTTGTCAATATTCTCACGGTTTAAAGGTCCAGTTGTGAATTGTATTAGTTTGGTTGTCTTTGTGATATTCTCAAAGGGTGACTGCTTTCCTACGTAGAATCGATAATGTGTCGCATCTTTAATTGGATCAACAATGAGTTCGTTATAAACCTAAGACATTATGGATTGGTTATTGATAATGTGTCATTAATTTTGATCGATCGCCTGCTAATAGGGCCATGTTAATCCCCTTCACAATAGATATTAAATATAAAAAAAAGGTAAATGGATAGCAATCATGAATTAAGTCACCGACACACCAGATGTTTCGTAAAGAAAATAAGCACATTGAATGCAACCTCGTTTTCACGGTGTACAGCAGCACGCTCCCACCACCCGCTCTCTCACCCTGGTATTGGATGGTCAACAATCTTGTACATGCAAATTAAGAGTACTGGTGCCTGGCTGTGCTTTAAATCAGTGGTGTTTTTAATGCTGTGTCTGGGGTAGTTTGGGCGCCGAGAGAGTTGTCCAAGTAAAAGTAAAATCCAAAATTCTGCTAGCAGACAATTGACATTTTTAAAAAACGGGTGTAGCAACTTAAACAAAACCTAAAATTCTGCTATAGCAGTAAAAAAGGGTAAATTAGGTTGTCCACTTCCGGGGTCATAGTGATATAAGGGCTGAGCTCTGGTCACGTGGCGCTGCATGTCCCTCAACCAGGGAACCACGAAGCTTGTACGTGAACAAGTCATCAGATAAACCTAACGACGTCATGCTTTGTTTACATGTGCGCTTTTCTCGGTGAGGCGGGGACGATTAGCTCAATATAATGTGTGCTTACCATAGGCAATGAAAATTTACATGGGCCCTTTAGGCAAAAAGAAGAGTCTCCGGTTTCTGGTATGGAGCTTTCCCAAAAAGTGGTGCGACGACGCGGCTTTTTTTTTTACCGTTTTTTTTTTCTTCAAAATGTCGGCTGGTGACTACAAATGGTGCCGGACTAAACTTAGTGCAAATATGGGAGTCCAGAGAGACCACATAAAGCTTATACTCGATCGTAACGCCATCTAAAAACATGTTAAAATTGTTAAAAACTTTTTCATTTTGTCGCATGGCTACGGCGACGCGTGCGTGCGCATACCAGAAACCGGAGATTCTATTTTGGCCTTTGATATTCCAAACGTGCAGTCGTATATGGAATGAAAATAGAGCATTATTATCACCCCTCCAAAATATTATATAGGTTTTCCCGGCTGTTTTAAAACATTTGTATTCACATTCACCAACTCTAACATTCAATTTCGTCCGAGGTTGTCAAACTGAGGGGGGGGGGGGGCTTCACGAAAAACGGTCACTTGCATCATCCGAGCTAAAATGTCGACACGTTTTTTCACCGGACACTTGGCCTCCGTAAAATCAAATGGGGGGGGGGGGGGGGGGGGGGGGGGGGGGCTCTGGTACTATCTTCCAAAATAGGGGGCGCTCTTCAAAACCGGCCATTTTGCAGACTATGTGCCCACTTTAAGGGCCCATTGTAAGGGTTTTGGGGCTCGGTTTTCATATTCCTCGTTCATATCAGAACTCTTTATGCCATTTTGGGAAATTGTAACTGAAAACAAATTACCCGAAATGTTTGGACTAGTTCTTTTTTTCATCGCGAGGGGGCACATTTATGCTCGAGGGAGAATATTTACGCCAGCAGGAGGGGCACTTGGGTAAATCGGGGGGGGGGGGCAAGTGCCCCTCTTGGGAAAATGGGGGGGGGGGGGCTGGGGAAAGTGGCCCCCAGCCCCCACCCCCTGATTTTCCCAGTTATTTCAAAAACATTTTTCGTCAGCAAGATGGGTACTTGGGTAAATCTGGGGGGGGGGGAAGTGTCCCCCTCCAGTCGATAATAATTGCAGTAGGAATGTTCAAAGTACCATGCAATGCCGGTCTCCAAATACCAAAATCCCGTACCACCAGGTACAGGAGATCCACAACTCCTGCACTTGCGTACATTTTAAAATAATTGCCATGAGAAGAAGCATATGTTGACGGGGTAGGCAGCACCAGATGAATTAGGGGTTCAGTTTAACATCTCAGTATTTGGATTGGTTTATCATAGGGCCTAGTAGTTTTTATAAGCATTGAAATTAATTTATACTGTGAGAGTATTGAATGTGTTTGTTTTCCCTCTATGTCTGCATGTGTTTGTTTGTCAGGCGGGCTGTGTCCTTGTTTGTCTTGGTCAGTCGGTCAGCTTTTCTATCTGTGTCTATCTACTGGTCAGTTGGTCGGTTTGTTTTCTGTTTTTGCCTGTTTTTTTTATGTCCTTCGTTATCTATGTATCTGTCCTACGGTCTGCTGTTTGTGTGTTTGTCCGTTTCAGTTGTTCGTTTGCTTTTGTTTGCTTTTAAATAATGGGTCAATATTTTTTAGTTCACTCACTTGTGTCATGTGTCTAATGTAACTTTAAAAGTGTATTTTTCTTGTTTTTAGTGTATTTTTCTTGTTTTTAGGTATGGTTTAATTGTTTGAATTGATCCTTTTCACTCCATGTAATTGTGCAATGCCAGCCTTGTGGCTGCTAATAATGATAATTATACACACGACCAGACCGCTGGGCTCTTCCAGATCATATCGACTGGTATTAATTTGCAATTAACTTTATGTCATTGCATTCCTTTCTCTTTGCTAGTTCCAAAAATGAAGATTCTACCTCACTTTCAATTAAATATGGCCGACTCCTGAATACATGACATATAGTCAATGCTTGACGACGGCACGCCGTATTCGACATAATTATCAAGGGGATATCGTTTAACGCGAGGCTCCAGTAATTAAGAATGGCGTAATTATTGGCTGCTTTGTTACACTCGACAATGGCCAACGAACAAGTGAAGTTCTCGAAGGACGCCAAGGACGCACGTACGACGATGATTATTAGATCAGATTCCGTGTTGTGTCCGTGGCCTTGGGTTAGACTTGCCGTCAAGTCGTTAGTCGGATGCCGCTAACATCAACAGCTCGGTCATGTGTCCATACATTATTATTAATTTCACAAAATGCACCCTGTGCGCACCACGCCCTGCTTTAACTTGTGTGTTGTGTACTTTGTGGCAGTAATGCATACCCAGAAAAACGAAAAATAAACACTCTTAACCAATCGGTCTGCTTCGTCCAAATCTGATAGCAGGTCTTGCAAGTTGTGCACAAAGCTGCGACCACTCCGTTGAGTAAGTCGTTGATTGGAGCCGACGATCACAAACATATTGTTTGTGATCGTCTAAACCGTCCCCGTACGACGCAACCGTCCCCGTACGACGCAACCGTCCCCGTACGACGCAAGCCAGGTACTGCTACGTTGACAAACGAACAAAACTCGAGTGGCCAATTAACCGTCTTGAAATGATCAAGTCTACCTTCGGCGGCGGTAGCTTTGGTAATTAAGGAAACGACTTTAGAAGTGCCATTTAATGAAATGACTGACCGGTGTATGGAAGTAGGCAGCCATATACACGCAAATTGAAAACTCCCTCATTATAATTGCCACTTGCAAACCGAGTTACAAACAAGAGAGTCAAAAGCGCCGAGCCGCTAAAAATGGCTGCAAATGCTTGGCATTTGGCAGCATTACCTGGGCTGGTCATCTCGCCGTATCTAGTCATTCTCCTGGCGTTGTCCGTAGAAGGAGAATCATGCAGCGTCATAACAAGGGCTACATCTGGTGAGGATTTTACTGCCCTCCAGGAAAAGACAATCGCAGCATTTCGATCGAAATGCAGGGTTGAGGCGAATTCCGGATCGGATGAAATCAAACGTAAGTAGCGGTTTCTTTCCCATTATGTCCTTGAATGCGACGTAGAATATGTAAAGAGATACAGAGGGAGATATATCATGCTGAGAAACTTTCCACAGTGATTATCCAAAGTTAATTAATTCCAACTTAGAGTTTTTTGTGTGTATTTTCAGGATAGAAAATAGATTTTCAGTTCACTTTTCCCAAGCTGCGCTAGCTGATAATGTATAGCCATAGCACCAGTGGCGTAACGGGGGCGCAATTTAAAGGGGAACCTTGGAAGATATTTTTAAGAGGGTAACCGCTGAATGGTTTCCACGAAAAAAACTCTTTTCAGTCATTTTCAAAGAAAGAGCAGGGGTGGGGCATATTACCTCGAGATGCGGTGCTCCCTATAAGTGCCTAGCCCCCATGCCCCTAAAAGTCCCCCGACGACAAACTGAGCATAATAAATCACCCCAAAAAGAGATTACTTTTGTCACCGAAGATCCTACTCCCTTAATAATTCCCTCCCTGCAGTTTCAGCTTGCCGCAATCCGCTGGGAATGGAGTCTGGTGTCATTCCAGACAGCGCCCTGTCAACTTCATCCGTTGGCAATCCAGGCTATGGCAAAGAGATGGCGCGTCTCAACTCCCACGGTAAATCCTTATCTGCTTCCATTGGCTTTGTCTGCATATTGAGCCGTCAGCTAAGTGAATTTTTGTACTTTTAATCGTCGAATCTTCGTAACAAAGAGTAACATATATGCCTAATTTGAGTATATAGTAAATTTCAGTTAAACCTTAATTGTTCTAACCTTGAGCGGAACGCTCTTTTAACTGAGGACACGTTGTATTACAATGACAGTGACAATAACATTGACACCACTGTCCTGTATGGGACATAAGACGTGAAACAAAGTAACAAAACGATATTAGAGTTTCCGCCAATTAACACTAAAGGGCCGGGTTATTTTGACCATCTCACAGCCGGGGGGGGGGGGGGGGTGGCGGATTCCGAAATTCTGAAACTTAGTGTATGCATAGAACAACTTAATAGAAACACACCCAAGAAATTTCATGACTATATAGGTTAACCCTAAAGGGGCCGGGTTATTTTGACCATCTCTCAGCCGGGGGGGGGGGGGGGGGGGGGGGGGGGGGGGGGGGGCGGATTCCGCCCCCCCTAAGATCTCGGCCATCGAGTGACGAAAATTTTTGAAACTCAGCACATGCATAGAGCAACTCTTCCTAAACATGCCCAAGAAATTTCATGACTATAGGTCAAAGGGTTTTGGAATTATGGCTAATTAATTATTCATATGTATGAATGGCAATTCTGCTCGGTGTACACGACGTATATGCGAAAATTCAGTTTTCACGGCGCGTAGCGCTGGAAAACTTTTCGCTACGTGCCAACCCGTGGTCCGATTTTTATGTTTTTGGTATCAAAAGATGCGCAAAGCTCGAGGCTAAAAAGTCATAACAGCTCGGGCCGCGAAATTTTTTTTTTAGAAGCTATCGCGGAAAATGTTGAGGGGGGGGGGGCGGATTCCGCCCCCCGGCCCCTTTAGGGTTAAAGGGTTTTGGAATTATGCTTTGATTGATTATTCATATGCACCAATGGTAATTCTGCTTTGTGTACACTACATATTGGGGAAATTCAGTTTTCACGGCGCGCCGCAGCGCCGAATAATTTTTCTTTTCGCTGCGCGGCATCCCTTGGTCGGAAATTCATGTTTTTGGTATCAAAAGTTGCGTAAGACTCGAGGCTAAGAAGTCAGGAGAGCTCGGGTTGGGAAAAAAGTTGCAAAGGTATCGCAGAAAAAGTTCGGGGGGGGGTGCCTTATTCGGCCCTTTTAGGAGTCGTGTTTAAAGTTGGTACCAATTCGGGCGATTCACAATGCAGAGCGCCACCAATAGTTTGCCACGTAGAGTTCATTTTTCCCCCAGTGCGTTGTGGGAAATGGTCGACAAATTCTTATCGCGGGACATTTGAAATTGTTCGTTTTTTCCGGTCAGTAGTTTCGTAAGCGTATGATTCGAGTATATGTTTGCCCTTTTATTTTCTTTGTATCAATATGGTGATTTTTTATAAGGCGGCAGAACGCTATGCCCCTATCAATATATAGCTCAAGTTGTCTACTGACACTCATTCAAATGGGCCATATTTTGTCGACCGTAAACTTGAAAAGTTCACTCGCCATGGCAAACTCTTGGTGGCGCACTACATTGTGAATCGCCCGAATTGCAAATCTACCAAGTTTTAATGTACCAATAATTGTAAAGGTACCAATTGTAATTCAATTCCTAGACCGTGTCAATCACTGTAAAGCTACATTGACAGGCAACCGACAGACAACCCAAACACGTTGGTAACACGTGACCATAACATTGAATTTTGTTTTTAAAAAAATGACATGATCACCTGTTTTTGTTCTCTTCTTTATTCTTGTGCCGTATCCGAAGCTGCCTGGTGCACTCGAGGAGACATCGACCTAAATGCCTGGATCCGCGTCGACCTACCTGACTCGGTAACCGTAACAGGCCTCATCACACAGGGGAGAGATTACAGTAGTACCTACACCACGTCCTTCAGCGTGCAATACGGGAATGGCACCAACTGGAGTGAGGTGGTCGGCAAGGATGGCTCTCCGATAGTGGTAATTTTGGACTAGACCTTTATAAAGACATTTTAGGATCATTCCCTTTTCAGGAATTGTGTTCATTTTCAATAATAACATGACTCAAAATCCAAAGAGGAATGTTCAAAACCTATTACCTGTTGAGATTTCAGCTCCGTTATGACACTTTTCGGGAAGACACGATCTTGTCAATAGAACTCTTTATTTCCAGCAGTCAGTCAACAGACTGATCGTTGAAATCACCTACATTTCTTGATCCCCCCCCCCCCCCTAAATGACAGCAAGCCAGACAGAATAATTTAACGTAGTGTTACGTAATATGTAATCCAAGTAAGTTAAAAAAAAAAATAATAATAACAAATTGGTATATAAACCTAAGATATTACTTTTGGGATAGACCCAAATGCTAAATGATCGTAATGCTTTTAAATTGTACTCCATGTAGTAATGACAACAATCCACCGTTATACTGTAGCTTTGCGTTGCATTATTCTCAGCGAAGCACATTTCAAAAAATGTGCCAATGCGACGTGACTCAGCACATTTTAGTGTTAAATTACAATTATCCTTTTTTTGAGGTGTCAGAGCCAGCGATGAAATCCTTTTTTTCTTTAAATGTCGAATGTCTTAGAAGTTGGATAGGCCTTTTGCCAGAACATCGAAATTCAGGACACCCTAACAAGCCTAGCCTACTGCTTCAAAGAGGAAAGTTGCGTAAACGATTTAACAGAAATCAAAGTTTACTGTTCTAGACTCGTGACAAACACCCCAAACCAATTGGCCTTTTTCACAGTCTAACGCCTTCTTTGCTATGTTGTTATAGTACAGTTCGCGCATCTTTGTTTTTAGTTTCAGGCCAACAGCGACTGTTGCACCCCGGTGACTGTCTACTTTCCCTCGCCTTTGCAGCTGCGGTCTTTCCGCATACTGCCGGTCGACTGGGTTACGACGAGCATCTGCATTCGCTTTGAACTGCTCGGCTGCGGAGCAATCTGAAGGGGGTGCGCCCGATAGTCCGAAGGTTCGATAGTCCGAAGGATCGATTGTCCGAACGCACACATTTCTGGGGGTTAGTCCAAAAATAAAATAGGGTTCGTTAATCCAAACATTTTGATTCGATAGTCCGAAGGTTCGTTAGTCCGAAGGTTCATAGGTTCGATAGTCCGAACGCACAAATTTCGCATAACCGGGGGTTCATTAGTCCGAAAATGAAATAAGGTTCGTTAATCTGAACATTTGATGCGATAGTCCGAAGGTTCGTTAGTCCGAAGATTCGATATTCCGAAGGTTAATTTATCCGAATGTTCGGTAGTACGAATTTAGAAAAAAGGTTGATAGTACGAAGGTTCAATAGTCCGAACCGAAAAAAAACAAGGGTTCAATGGTCCGAAGGTTCAAAGCACACAAGGTTCGATTGTCCGAATTGACAAGAATGCTCAATGCTGTCAATTCGGACTATCGAATCTCATCGAAAATTCGGACTATCGAACATTCGGACTATTGAACCTTCGGACTAACGAACCTTCGGACTAACGAACCTTCAAACATCCCATTTTATATATTTGTGGGGTACCTCGGGTACAAGTGGTCCATGGTAAGGGCGGACTAACGAACCTTTGGACAATCGGGCTGTCACCATCCGAAGGTCGGCTTTAAAATTGAGAATTGTTTGGCAAATGTTTAATAATTATCTTAATTGTTTAACAATCTTAGCCTATCGCTCCCTTATTTCTCCCTACTTGAAGAGTGAAACAAGGGACTATAGATGGTTCAGAGTGAAAAGCAATATACATGTTGGATTGAAGAAGCCAGTTTAAAAAGAATCACCTCCGGCAGTCCAAACTTGATTGAAAACTCGGCCTTTCCGATCAAATGAATTTCACTTTGAATCGTGTTGTTTTAATAGTTTCAGTCGGATAGAGTGAGTTTTCGCTCGTCGGAAATCAACAAGTGTGGCAGTCATCTTGCAAGTAACGTAGAAGTTTTAAATGTTGTAGCCTATAAATATGCTTGTGTTTGACTAATTGATATGAATGTTCATTTAGGGCAATTTCGTCAATAATCCACCACCAAACTCGTTTGGGGGCAACAACTATAGAAATACAAGATGTTTTAAATCTAATTTTCGTCTAGTGATTTGTCGTTATGTTTAATATTAAGAGATTTAGTTTCATAAGGAAAGGTCAAACAATAAAGCAATATTGACCTTAACAATACAGTGTTTTAAGCGACAAATGCAATCCGAATGAAAATCAATGTGTATTTTCGCGTGTAAAGCACTTAATTGTTTCTACATTGTTACGATGATATTATTTTATCGTTGGACTGTTGCTCATGATATTCAATGCACCTCTGTAAAACATCGTGGAAAATAATTGCACGAAATTTCAGTTTAATACATCTTGTATTTCTGGAGTTATGTATCGGAAAACGAGTTGTTATTTTTGTTCAATAGTGCAGCCTCCGCACCGATACTCTTTTATTCAATAGAGGGCGCGCCACATAAATGGTGGTCTCGAAAATTATCCACCACCAAACTCGTTGGGGGAGGGGGGGGGGGGTCAACAACTCCAGAAATACAAGATGTTTTAAATTGAATGTTCGTCTAGTGATTGGTCATTATGTTTAACATTTAGAGATTTAATTTCACAAGAAACCGTCAAACAAGACAGCAATATTGTCAGTAACAAAACAGTGTTTTAGCGCGACAAATGCAATCCGAATGAAAATCAATGTGTATTTTGCACGTGTAAAATACTACATTGTTACGATGATATCATTTTTATCTTTGGACTGTTGCTCATGATATTCAATACACCTCTGTTACACATCGTGGAAAATAATTGCAAGAAATTTCAGTTTAATACATCTTGTATTTTTTAAGTTATGTATCGGAAAACGAGTTGTTATTTTGTTCAATAGTGCAGCATCCACAACGATACTCTTTTATTCAATAGAGGGCGCGCCACATAAATAGTGGTCTCGAAAATTATCAACAACCAAACTGGTTTTTTTTTTGGGGGGGGGGGAACAAGATTTGATTTCATAAGAAACTGTCAAACAATAAAGCAATTTTGACTGTAACAATGCAGTGTTTTAAGTGCGACAAATGCAATCCGAATGAAAATCAATGTGTATTTTTCACGTGTAAAACACTTAATTGTTACGATGATATTATTTCTATCGTTGGACTGTTGCTCATGATATTCAATACACCTCTGTTACACATCGTGCAAAACAATTGCACGAAATTTCAGTTTAATACATTTTGTATTTCTTGAGTTATGTTTCGGAAAACGAGTTGTTATTTTTGTTCAATAGTGCAGCCTCCGCACCGATACTCTTTTATTCAATAGAGGGCGCACCACATAAATAGTGGTCTCGAAAACTATCAACAACCAAACTCGGTGGTTGTTTTTTTTTTTGGGGGGGGGGGGGGAACAAGTCCAAAAATACAAGATGTTTTAAATTGAATTTTCGTCTAGTAATTTGTCATTATGTTTAACATTAAAATATTTAATTTCATAAGAAACTGTCAAACAATAAAGCAATTTTGACCCTAACAATGCAGTGTTTTAAGTGCGACAAATGCAATCCAAATGAAAATCAATGTGTATTTTTCGCGTGTAAAATACTACATTGTTACGATGATATTATTTCTATCGTTGGACTGTTGCTCATGATATTCGATACACCTCTGTAAATCTTCGTGGAAAATAATTGCACGAAATTTCAGAATAATACATCTTGCATTTCTAGAGTTATGTATCGGAAAACGAGTTGTTATTTTTGTTCAATAGTGCAGCTTCAGGTAATTCTGTCCCCTCCAGGTTTTTTTGTCCCCCTAGTTTTGCAGCGCAGAAGGCCAGTAATTCCATATAATTATTGTTTTAATGAATTCATACAAGCTATACATTTTTAATTTTTTAGTCTGCCCTTCATGAGGATGAATAAAAGTAACTTTTTGGTCTCTTTGTGAAATGTGAACAATTATGTTTCGATCGACTCGGACTCGGAGTACGGTGAAATTACAGCAAGGTCGTGCACTACAGTAGCCCTATTCTACGGTGGACGCCTCATTGATATAACGACTACTTGGATTGGTCTGCGTTCCCATCGTAGCGCGTAACGAAATTTCTCATTGGATGAATTTCCTTCGTGTAGAGGGATACACATTATACACATGCGATAAACGCTGCCACAAATCTTGCAGCATGTACTTGCGGCGATGCGCGCGCTTACGAACACGACTCGTATCACCGCATGCGTGCACAGGGACACATTTACTAGGGGGGGGGGGGACACACATTTAACGTCGTGCAGGGGGACAGATTTACCTAGAGGGGGACAGGTTTACCTAGGTAAAAGTGTCCCCCCGGACAGATTTACCGGGTCACGAGCCGGTAAATTTGTCCGGGGGGACACATTTACCAGGGGGACAGAATTACCTGCCCCACCCCCAAACGAATTTGGAGCTGGATAAATATGGAGACCACTATTTATGTGGCACGCCCTCTATTAAATAAACGAGTGTCGGTGCGGATGCTGCAATATTGAACAAAATAACAACTTATTTCCCGATACATACCTCAAGAAATACAAGATGTATTAAACTGAAATTTCGTGCAATTATTTACCACGATGTGTAACAGAGGTGTATTGAATATCATGAGTAACAGTCCAACCATAAAATTAATATCATCGTAACAATGTAATGTTTTACACGCGAAAAATACACATTGATTTTCATTCGGATTGCATTTGTTGCGCTTAAAACACTGTATTGTTACGGTCAATATTTCTTCATTCTTTGACGGTTTCTCATGAAAATTAAATCTCTTAATGTTAAACATAATGACAAATCACTATACAAAAATTCAATTTAAGAAATCTTGTATTTCTGGAGTTGTTGCCCCCAAACGAGTTTTGTGGTGGATAATAATTGCATCTCTTTTTTGTACGTCCGACCACATGATTTTGCAAGTTTAAGGTGGTAGTTTAAGGTGGTAGTACATTTGTTTGGCCTGTAATTATTTTCTCTTCATTCGATGTCACACAATAGTAATGTATCACATTCGCAATTTCACACTACCAACAGAAGTTCATTAAACAGTGTCTGACAAGTACGTCCAAATTTAACGAACTGCCCTTCGTGCCGTTAATAACGAATGCTAAAAGTGGCATCTTATTTTTCCCCAAAATTATTTTTCGTCGGTTACCAAGCTTTTATGACATTGATTTCGAGCCCATGCTTTGCTTGAACGTAGACAATTTATTGTCATGGTGACGACTCATTCATTTTTTTCACGGTTGTTTAATAACGTGGCGGCACTTTCAATCAGCCAGTGCCAACAGAAAAATCAATTTAAAAATCGTTGACATAATAATGTGCCATATTCACAGTCAGTAATTTCATATTTTTTTTAACGCATTCGTTATATTACGTTGTACGTTTATAATTTAAGACCGTTCAATAGTTGATAACCATTAAGATGTGTGTACATGGCTTTGTGGTGGTTTGAAAAACAAATGATCACCCATTAGGCAAAAAAAAGTCTCCGGTTTCTGGTATGGAGCTTGCCCAAAAAGTGGTGCGGCGATGCGGCTGGTTTTTTTTACCTGATTTTTTTTGCTTCAAATGTCGGCTGATGACTGCAAATGGTGCCCGACTAAACTTAGTGCAAATTATATATGGGAGTCCAGAGAGGCCACATAAAGCTTATTCTTGACCATAACCCAATCTAAAAACACGTTAAAATTGTGCAGCAGCAGGATTCCAGTCAAACCATTGAGTTTGGCGGTTTTGAGACATCATCTTTCATTGAAAAAAATGATTTATTTTGTCGAAAGCGTACATGCTAGACTGCTCTTATATTCCCTTCATGATTTTCTGATCGGATTTTTTGTGTGTTTAATTTTAAGGAGGTAACAGTTGTAGAAACTTCAGGTGTTAAAAAAAACTATATGTGCATAATGAGATGTACATTAACAATGACAACTTAAAAATTGATTTCACAAAATTAGTGACTTGCTTTTGCTCGGTCCTTCATTTCTTTGGATATCATCAGGGTAACAATCAACGATCACTGGACAAAAAATCGGAACCCCCCTGCAATTGTACAGGTGTAACCGTATAGGCCAATGTAAAATGTCATAGGGCCATGCCAGCAAGCGATGATCTGGACAATTTTTTTTTAATATCCATATCGCGGTTAAATAGATGCACATATCGATTTTTTTTCAACCACGACGACCAAGAGCATTCTGCCCCTGGCTGGTAAGGCGACCACATCCCCCACTGGCGAGAAGTATCAATAACACTGCCCGACAAATTTTGAAAGTGGTTTCCCGTGACTATTCTGCCCAAATTCACCTTGCAAAAATAAAATAGGCCCACAGTTCAAGGCAGGTTGAGGAACAATTATTTTGTCAGGACATAGGCCTCATGGCACAATCAATATTCCATTCCTCATCACGCACTACCCTCGCTTCAGAGGCAAGACAATGAGAAAGGAAGGTCTCTTTTTTTAATTAACTATTGTCAATAATTATTACCGGGCAAAGTTATGTCGACATTCGCTCCAACAGTGGATATGAGCAGCGCTTTTTTTTTCTTCTGCAGGCTAGTAAAGTCATTTACCTTGATACGCATGCGTGAAACATATCGCGTGAATTAGTTAAACGATTGTGATTTCAAATAACGTACACAATAGTTTATACTTGAATTTTAGATTTGTGTCGGAGATTGTGGCAGTCTATGGCCTGCTACGCTAGGTCACTGGTCATGATGGTGCAGGGCTGGCGGTTCTACTCCGGGATTAAAAAAATTTTTTTTTTCCTTTTTCCTCTAGAAGTGAATTTTCTGTCCTAAATTGTGTTTATAATCAAGTCCTGCTGATCGATGACGTAAACTTCACCTTGTTTTGATTCATGGCTCTAAACGATTAACAGAAAAACAAAGGAAAGTCTGAGAAATATTCCGTTGCCAACGGACGCATGCGCATTATGGTAAATACCATTTAACTATACTTGGTTGCAGAAAAAAAAAAATTGCGGCCATGCAGGCAGGCATGATGGCATTAACGAATCGATTGTAGAAGGTCGTTATGAGGCTGTTCAGACGCTCGTCCTACGTCAGTACTGTTGTGCTTCTTTGACTTGTAACAGTGTATCCTGCCATTTTGCAGACCGCAATGGGACACATCAGTTGTCTATAATTTCGAAACCAGATTAACATCTTTACTTTAATATTAGGACGACCGACATGGAAATTATGCCACGACAGGTATTTTGCCTTTTATCAGTGATCCTGATTAGTTCTCGTGCCATCCACTGCGCCCAATGCCCGCCCGGCTGGCTGAAATGGCAGCAATCTTGTTACATCTTACTGACGGACAAGATGAATTGGTTTGAGGCATCGGAGGCTTGCAACCGGCCGGGAAGCAGCCTCTTCGTACCCAACTCGCGGGAAGAAAACGACGTCATCTGGCAGTCACTTGGGATACAGACTGGCGGTTTGTGGATTGGCTGCACGGATGCAGCCCAAGAGGGTATCTGGCTTTGCGGAGGTCAACGTATGACTTTCAGCAGTTGGAATGGTGGCAATCCGCACAACGACACCCAGCGCAACTGCGCTCGGATGACGGTATACGGTGCCGGGGGCTCTTGGGCCGACGATGTTCCTTGCGGCCTCAACAACCGCAAACATGCAGCCTGCGAGATGACGGTCTCTGCGGTACCAGCCTACCACACCTTCACCGGTCCTGATGGGCGTGTCCCCCAGCAATGCCTCCTCCATCACGACATCAAGAATCTGACGGTAGATGGCGTGCTTGCCTGTGGCTGGGCGTGCCTGGCCGATCCCCGATGCCGCTCCTTTAATCTCTGGCAGAGCAGCAAGAGGGAAAAGATGTGTCAACTCAATGACGTCACTCGTCAAGCGGCTGACGGCAACGACTTCAAGGCAACCGATAACTGTTACTATTTCGACTTGTAATAAATGATGGAAACTTTACTTTGGAAACTTTGAGTTGGAAAGTAGATGCCAATGCTAGTTTTCAAACACCTCGTCACAATTTTGGTTGATATACTAAAGCTGTTAGTTTGTTCGGTTCGGGCACTGCACAATTTGACGTTTTATAAATAATGACTGCAAGTTCAGTCATATCAGTTTCACATTGCATTTCATACATGATTGTACACCACACCGTGATGTGATTTCTCACGTGCTTCAATATCACACGCATTGAATATCATTAGAACCGTTCTGGTCATCTCCGTGAGCTAACATGACTACAGAGCTTGTACGGGTACGGATACAGTGGAACGCCGCTATACCGAGCACCGCTGTACCAAACAATCGGCTATACCAAACATCCCTGGCTCCCGGTTTTAATGTACAAAACGTACCGAACATTGTTGTTGAAAAAAGTCAACAGATTAACAAACAAATGTACTGGATGTATTAAATGCTATGTGGGTCACTTTTAATTCCCGAACATCAAATGACCCATAATTACATCATGTTTGAATGTTGAAGAGCGAAAGATGCTTATTATTTCCCCAGGGAATACAAGGGAAACCACCCGTTGCAAAAGTTTGTGACAACTCCTCGTGAAGCCCCGGGATGTGAGAAATGCCAGTTCACTGCTGGTCAAAAGAGGGTACCGCGCGGTTCAAAATCACTGTACCGAGCGATCGTTATTACGAACACTTTCTGTGGATCCCGCGATATTCGTCACAGCAGCGTTCCACTGTAATGACATTTTGTTAGAACATTGTATGTCATCAGTAGATCTACCAATAGGCCTACGAATAGAAAAATTCTCATCTTGGAGCTTTGTTAATTGTTGCTAGCTTTGTGTCCGCGCTAAAATTCAGCTTATAGAGAAGAGTAAACAGCTCAAGTAGAATACACGTCAAGTAAAATCGTCAGCACAATTTTTGTGGTGTCAAAGTAGAAATCTTACCATTCAACGCGGGTACTCGTCATTCAAATCATCAGAATTTCCGATGCATGGAATAGAAATTTGTTCCAAACTGTTATCGGTACTTCTTCGACTTGTAAAGGGAATCAACTAAAATTATTGAAAAAAATATCAATTCCTTTATTTCAGGACAGTCAATATAAATGGTTATATGTATATCTGAATTGTCAAGTATGCAGACGAATGACTTTTTGGTCACTTTCTCAACGTACTGTAATCTTTATGGAACTATATAGGAGCTGAACATAAACTTGCACTCAGTCGAACGTCAGCAGAACAGATATTAGCAAAGTCCATCTTTTCTCCTCGGGTTTAGATTGTATTCCGAACATTCTCGCACGTGGATTTCTATCGAAAACATTCTTAACGCCAAAATCATGAAACTCGCAGGAGAATAATATTCGATGTCTTGCGCGTGGTAATGTGTACCTTTTCAGTCTTGATGTAAAAACTATTTTAAACAGTCAAAGAAGTAATTAGTTAATAATTAGAGCAACGCAGTGAGAGAGTTAACGAACAGAAAAAAATGTTGAAATAAATATACTTACCTTTTAATTCCTATTATTATTTTTATTAACATTTTTATTTTCCAAGCACAGCATATGCACCAAAACAAACAAGGGCGTTTATAAAAGAGAAGCACTGCCTAAATTGGGCGATTCTCTATTTTTAGGCAAATAGTACATAAAATGCTTAAAGGGATTTTTAGAAATAATGCCAAACCATCAAGATTTAGAAGTTGGGGACAAATGTAACCAGGCTTTTTGTAAACCTTTTCTCCTCACCAAAGATGCCGCGTGGTGGCGCCCTACTGTTTTTGTGTCGTCTGCTCTTGGTGAGAGGAAGAGTGGTTGTCGTTTGTTGTTTTCAGCTGACGCCTATTGCTCGTTAGAGAGTTTTGAAAAGGGTGTTCGCAATAGGGGAAAATAACAATGATACAACATGAAACCAAAGAGACTTGATTTCAGCTTTTATGACATTTCGGGCCCATGCTTGCTATGATCATAGGCAATTGATTGTCATGGTGACGGTTCATTCATTTCTTTTCCAAGGTTGTAGTGGCGGCGCTTTCAATCAGCCAATGCCAACAGAAAAATCAATTGGAAAATCGTTGACATGATAATGTGTCATAACTTACATTTATTCAGTAATGTACCGGTAAGTCATATAAAAAAATTGTCTCTTTTATATTTACGAGACGTTTATAATTTAAGACCCATTATTTTGTTTAATAACGGTTTGTGATTGTTATCTGATCCCACGGAATGAGTTTTATGAATTTTGTCTTTTTTTTAATTTCCCATTTGTATGAAAAACATTGTGCATTATTTGTATGTGCTGGCACAATGTCACACATTTAAGCCGTGGTTGGAAACAGATCGTGCAAAAAAAAATTAAAATCCTCCTTATGTAAGAAAGGGGCACTCGCTCGCATTAAGTTTTTGGCAGCGTTTGTTGAATATTGTGTATTTGCCCCCCAAAAGGTATATTCTGAGTACATGTAGTATAATTTTGATATCGCGCGCACGATATGACATTGTGATGAGTGTTTAATAAAATTAAAACTGGAGGTTATGTTGGTGAAGAAATTGACACTCGAATTGATTTCATTTTGCGCAAGATTTGTTGAAGAGTCTGTATGATTCCAACATTTGCTCTGTTGACTTCCAATTCATTTCGTACGGTTTGGATACAATTGAGTGAATTTTTATTTAATTCAAAGATATTAGGCCGTATTTTAAACGAATGGGGGTGCTGTAAAACCAACAATTTCGGGTTTTGTCAGTCTGGTTTCCTGACCTGAAGATAGACATCAGGTAACCTTTACGTTCAACAATTGAACAAGGGGCGACAAAGCCTTCCCTCGTGCAAGTACACAGGCTTTACATGAGGCAAAACGCCTGGCAATAAATTGAAGTCCATAATGAATGAAATTTTAGTTAGTTTTGAAAGTGCTATATTCTCTTTAATTATAACTGTCTAGCAGACTGTAGCACGGCTGTACATCTTTGTACAGAATAAGATGTACAGTAATTTTAATGGGTCCATGCAATGAATCTTTCTGAGGAGCATATTCTGTGCAACTTTCTACTCCTCTTAAATGTATGAAAACAATATCGTTTTGGTTAATGTTATTGAAAATTGCACTTCTAATTAAACATTCAAAATTGTCCATGCTTTTCTGGGCAACTAAGGGCGCTGTTACTGTGATGTCATAAGACACTGTTCAGTTTAGGGGTGAACCCAAAGATATGCTGATTGATAACATTTGTGAGGAAAGTATGCTCATTGGCTTAATACTGCCATGTATATTGACACAACAACGACCTACCGAAGAAATACAACAGCAAAATATCCAAACTTCTGACAACTCGTGGCGCTGAAATAATATAACATTGAGGTTTCTGCCTGAAATGACACATAACATTTGCTCAGGTATATGGAAATCTGCATTAGCATAATAACAAAAAAGCCACCAAAGTACCCTTGAAAAGTGGAAAACGAAAATTGAAAATAAAGTTAGATTAGACGCAAATGTTCATTTTCACGGATTGCATTTAACAATTTACATTACATGGGCCAATATAAAAATGTCATGGTGTCATGCCAGCAAGCGTGGATCCTGCCAGGAACATTTTTAATTATCCATATCAGGGGTGGGTTGCACATGTCGACTATTTCAACCACGGATAACCAATAGCATTCTGCTCCTGGCAAGACCAAGGCCACGCCTGTCACTGGCAAGATGTATCAATAACACTGCCAGACAAATTTTGAAAGTGGTTTTCTATCTTCTTCCAAAATTCACTCTGCGTAAATATCATCGGCCACACTCATCAAGGCAGATGTCTGGTTGGAACGGTCTTTTGTCAACAAATATGGCTAATTGCACGATCAATATCCTCACGCACTTACCTCGCTGTAGAGGCATCACAGAGAGGAAGATCTCTGTCGACAGTAGAGGGTTGTTATGAGGCTGTTCAGACGCTCGTCATATGTCAGTACCAGGCGCGTACGCAGGGGGGGGGGGTGTTTTGGCTGTTAAACACCCCCCTTTGCCATGTAAAAATATGGAGGGAAAAGAGAGTTATGTGACCGAGCGCGGAACAATTACTTTATAGGAGCAAGAGTATATAGGCCTATATGTATTTGAAACAAATGAAACAAAATATCCCCTCGTAATTTTAAAAATTTCTGCTAAAAAAATCAGGAGAAAGTGGCCAGGAAACGCCTCAGATTGCACCACAGGCATCTACGGTCCAAACTTTCCCGGGGCCCTTAAGCGGCGTGGGGTCCGGGGCGCGCGCCCGGACCCCACGCCGTCAGTTCTTCGCGCTCCGCGCTCGCATTAGTCCTCCGACCAAATTCCCTCTATGCTATAATTTCACCCTAGCGGTGCCCCTACCTTATTTGTACCTTCAGCAGCGAATGGCTCTACAAGTGGCCTAAATCCCTTTCCAAAATAGAAAATTGTGAAAAATACGGAGATGGAACATGGATCTCAAATTTGAGTACATAACAAACTTTATAAAGAACAAAAAAACTATCAAATTTAAATTGAATTTTCGATGTTTAAATCGTTTTCTAAACGGTGGAAGTGGCCAGGAATCGCCTCAGATTGCACCACAGAGCATCTAAAATCCAAATTTTTTCGGGGCCCTTAAGCGGGCCCCGGACCCCACGCCGTAAGGGCTTCGCGCTACGCGCTCGCAGGTACTGGACCCTTCATTACAATTCTAGGCCCCCCCCGGCAAATGGCAGTCGGAATCCACCCCTGTGACCAGAGCGCATATGTATCCTGTATCTGAAGTTTAGCCTTAGGGGTGGGGGCGGTTTACACAAAGATTCCAAACGGATGAGAATCATGAGATCCAGGGGACGAAGCTGAGTAATTTCAGCCAATTACAAGAACAGATCCTAGCACTTCCGCAGCCCGTGTCACTTTTTTCTTGAATTTCTTCTCTCTTTTTTTTTTAAAATGCTGTTGAGGGAGGGGACTGCCCACATTGACCCCTAATTCAATTATGTTCATCATATACTCTAAAGACACAGACCATGTTTTTTTCGATTTACTATGCTTTAGCTCAAAAAGATAACTGATGGTCGTGGGTTCCCGGCCCTTCGAGTTTAACCCGTCCAAATATACCCTCTTTTATTGATGGCGCCAACACAAACTCCCGACTTTTATTTTAGCGTTAAGTTTAGCCCACTGATACAATTTTTTTATTTCTGGCGCCAACACAATTTACCATCTTCATTTCTAGCGTCATAAATGATGACATCCAATTTTAAACACCCCCCTTGAAAAAATCCTGCGTACGCCACTGGTCAGTACTGTTGTGTTTCTTTGACTTGTAACAGTGTATCCTGCCATTTGCAGACCGCCATGGGACACATCAGTTGTCTATAATTTCGAAACCAGATTAACATCTTTACTTTAATATTAGGACGAACGACATGGAAATTATGCCCCGACAGGCATTTTGCCTTTTATCAGTGATCCTGATCAGTTCTCGTGCCATCCACTGCGCCCAATGCCCGCCCGGCTGGCTGAAATGGCAGCAATCTTGTTACATCTTACTGCCAGACAAGATGAATTGGTTTGAGGTATCGGAGGCTTGCAACCGGCCGGGAAGCAGCCTCTTCGTACCCAACTCGCGGGAAGAAAACGACGTCATCTGGCAGTCACTTGGGATACAGACTGGCGGTTTGTGGATTGGCTGCACGGATGCAGCCCAAGAGGGTATCTGGCTGTGCGGAGGTCAACGTATGACTTTCAGCAGTTGGAATGGTGGCAATCCACACAACGACACCCAGCGCAACTGCGCCCGGATGACGGTATACGGTGCCGGGGGCTCTTGGGCCGACGATGTTCCTTGCGGATTCAACTACCGCAAGCATGCAGCCTGCGAGATGACGGTCTCAGCGGTACCAGCCTACCACACTATCACCGGTCCTGATGGGCGTGTCCCCCAGCAATGCCTCCTCCATCACGACATCAAGAATCTGACGGTAGATGGCGTGCTTGCCTGTGGCTGGGCGTGCCTGGCCGATCCCCAATGCCGCTCCTTTAATCTCTGGCAGAGTACCAAGAGGGAAAAGATGTGTCAACTCAATGACGTCACTCGTCAAGCGGCCGACGGCAACGACTTCAAGGAAACCGATAACTGTTACTATTTTGACTTGTAATAAATGATGGAAACTTTGCTTTTGAAACTTTGAGTTGGAAAGTAGATGCCAATGCTATTTTTCAAACACCTCGTCACAATTTTGGTTGATATACTAAAGCTGTTAGTTTGTTCGGTTCGGGCACTGCACAATTTGACGTTTTATAAATAATGACTGCAACTTCAGTCATATCAGTTTCACATTGCACTTTATAGATGATTGTACACCACACCGTCATGTGACTTCTCACGTGCTTCAATATCACAGGCATTGAGCATCATTAGAACTGTTCTGGTCATCTCCGTGAGCTAACATGACTACAGAGCTTGTACGGGTACGGATACAGTGGAACGCCGCTATACCAAACACCGCTATACCGAACAATCGGCTTTACCAAACATCCCTGACTTCCGGTTTTGATGTACAAAACGTTCCGACCATTGTTGTTGAAAAAAAGTCAACAGGTTAACAAAAATCTACCGGATGTATTAAATGCTACGTGGGTCACTCTTAATTCCCGAACATCAAACGACCCATAATTACATCATGTTTGAATGTTGAAGAGCGAAAGATGGCTATTATTTCCCCAAGGAATATAAGGGAATCCACCCGTTGCTAAAGTTTTGTGACAACTCCTCGTGTAGCCGCGAGATGTGAGAAATGCCAGTTCACTGTTGATCAAAAGAGGGTACCGCGCGGTTCAAAATCACTATACCGAACGATCGTTTACAAACACTTTCTGTGGATCCCGCGATAAAATTTGTTACATCAGCGTTCCACTGTAACGACATTTTGTTAAACATTGTATGACATCAGTAAATCTACCAATAGTCCTACTAATAGACAAATTCTCATCTTAGAGCTTTGTTAATTGTTGCTAGCTTTGTGTCTGTGCTAAAATTCAGCTTATAGAGAAGATTAAACAGCTCAAGTAGAATACACGTCAAGTAAAATCATCAGCACAATTTTTGTGGTGTTAAAATAGAAATCTTACCATTAAACGCGGGAACTCGTCATTCAAATCATCAGAATTTCCGATGCATAGAGAGAATAGAAATTTGTTCCAAACTGTTACCGGTACTTCTTCGACTTGTAAAGGAAATCAACTAAAATTATGTAAAAATATCAATTCCTTTATTTCAGGACAGTCAATATAAATGATTATATGTATATCTGAATTGTCAAGTATGCAGACGAATGACTTTTTGGTCACTTTCTTTACGTACTGTAATCTTTATGGAACTATATAGGAGCTGAACATAAACTTGCACTCAGTCGAACGTCAGCAGAACAGATATTAGCAAAGTCCATCTTTTCTCCGTGGGTTGAGATTGTATTCCGAACATAAACT